GCTCCCTCCCTCCCCGACTCCCCTCATCCCCAGGGAGTGCTCCCTCCTCGACTCCCCATGTTCCCAGGGAGTGCTCCCTCCCTCCCCGACTCCCCATGTTCCCAGGGAGTGCTCCCTCCCTCCCTGACTCTCCGTGTTCCCCAGGGAGTGCTCCCTCTCTCCCCGACTCCCCGTGTTCCCAGGGAGTGCTCCCTCCCTCACCGACTCCCCTCATCCCCAGGGAGTGCTCCCTCCCTCCCTGACTCTCCGTGCTCCCAGGGAGTGCTCCTTCCTCCCCAACTCCCCGTGCTCCCAGGGAGTGCTCCTCCCTCCCCAACTCCCCGTGTTCCCAGGGAGTGCTCCCTGACTCCCCTCATCCCCAGGGAGTGCTCCCTCTCTCCCCCCGACTCTCCGTGCTCCCAGGGAGTGCTCCTCCCTCCCCAACTCCCCGTGCTCCCAGGGAGTGCTCCTCCCTCCCCAACTCCCCGTGCTCCCAGGGAGTGCTCCCTCCCTCCCCGACTCCCCTCATCCCCAGGGAGTGCTCCCTCCCTCCCCAGATGGGCCACTACTTGGCCGTCTAAATGTGGAGGCAGCCGTGGCCTCCCCAGCATCCCCGGTGGTTGAGGCCGGGTGATCCCAGGGTCCTTGTCCCCGGGGAGTGAGGGAGACCCGGGACCAGAGCACAGGGCGCCCCGCTGGGTCAGAGGTGACTTGGTTTAGAAAGATCCAGAAACAGCCGGGCGTGGCGGCGGGGGCTCACGCCTGTCATCCCAGCACTCTGGGAGGCCGAGGCAGGAGGCTCGCTCGAGGTCAGGAGTTGGAGGCCAGCCTGAGCAAGAGGGAGACCCCGTCTCTACTAAAAACAGAAAGAAATGAGCTGGACAACTAAAAATATATAGAAAAAAAAACGAGCCGGGCGTGGAGGCGCATGCCTGTAGTCCCAGCTACTCGGGAGGGAGGCCGAGGCAGGAGGCTCGCTCGAGGCCAGGAGTTGGAGGCTGCTGTGAGCGAGGCCGACACCACGGCACTCACTCTGGCCCGGGCGACAGAGCCAGACTCTGTCTCAAACAACAAACAACAGAAGTCCAGACTCTCTCTCTCCTGCGTCCGATTCTCGGGTCCCCGGGTTGAGGTCCGGCCTCCACCTTGTGGCCACGGGCCTCTGGAGGCTCTGACTCCCGGATCCTCCTCGGGGGAGAATAGCTGGGGTCTGGGTTGCAGGGCTGGCGTCTCCCGGAGCTGGGCGGCCGTGTAGACACGGCCTCGCCCCTTCCGAGGGGCTCTGGCCTCCGGATTGGAGGCTCCAGGGCTGTCTCCGGCCTCCGCAGGGCTTCCCGGAGGTCTTGCGAGCGCCAACTGCAGAGGCCGCCAGGACGTTGTTGGGGACCCCATATGCCCTGTGGGTGAGCGACCCCAATCTTTTCATGACAATCTCCTAATGGCTTAAAAATTTAAACACCACATTTAACAGAGCTCCTCCCTCGGCCTCTTTCCCCACAAAAAAAAAACAAACAAACCCAAGCACGGAGAGCGCCCCGCGCCTCTCGCGCGCAGGGTGACTATCAGAACAGACCCTGAGAGCCGCACGTTGCGCCCTCGTTTTTTTAAGGTCTTCGCTGTTCTGTCCACTTCCGCCCTTTTTAATTTTATTCTTCTTTATTCTTTTTGACGACGAGTCTCGCCCTGTCCGCCCCGGCTAGAGTAGCGCCGTGGCGTCCAGCCTCCGCTCACACACCCTCTCAACTCCTGGGCCTCTCAGAGCCCGCCTCGGCCTCCCTCCCGACGTATCGACACACAGCCATGAGCCGCCAATGCCGCCTCGTTTTTTTTCTAAATTTTTAGTTGTCCGCTCATTTCTCTATATTTTTTTTAGTAGAGACGGGGCCGCCTTGCTCAGGCTGGCCTCCAACATCCATGCCTACGCACGATCCTCGCCTCGCTCCTCCCCAGCGCCGGGTAAGGCTGGAGCCTCCGTGCTCTTGACGGGGGGAAGGCAGGACCAGAGGGGGGGAGGGGCGCCCCGAGTGATTTGGGGGGCGCATAGGGAGCCGGAGGAAGAAAGAGAAGCAGCCAGCGGAGAGAAGTGGAGGCCGAAGCTGAGCTGCACAGTGGAAGGAGAACCGGCCACCGCACACCGCGAGAGACAGAGATGTGAGTGCCAGGCCACGCTCAGCCCGGACTCGACCCGGCCTCCGGCTCACGCTGGAGCCCCCAGAGCACCCGGTGCGCTCGGGGCCCGGCGCACAGGGGG